CTTTTGATCAAGTGGGATCCATTCTACGACTGCCTTGGTCCACCTGCCACCCGTTCCTCTTGCTGTGTGGCCGATCCAGTTCCATTTCAATTCTTTTGATGGCATTGTATACTCTCCTTCATTCTCTAATCCATAGGCAGGTAAATTTCTATCTCGTCTTGTGTTGTCAAGAGTTGATTCCATGCCTCTTTGTGCCCCTTGTAGCTTTTGTAATCGATTTAGGCTCCACATTTCACCGTCATATGTTAGAGCAGGTAGCACACACTCATCAAAAACTTGTGTCTTCAGGCACAGGGGGAGATTGTTCTTGAAAATTACACTTCTCTTGGTGCATCAAACTTCAAAGGGACTTCAATTTCCATGAAACTAACACATCTTCTCCATAAGTTGAGTGCCCTGTTTGCATCTAGATACATTGGATTTTCACCAACAACAACAAATATAATAAAATATTTGGACTCTGGCTGTTTTGGGAATGGTGCTTCCGCCCTCCGCACAGGTCCTTAGGTTTTGATGATTGATTTTAATATTTTCATTCTATGTATAGACAAATTTTTTATGACTCTAAGGCCGCCCAGGGTTACCCTACGGTAAGATGGGCAGCCGATAAATTTTATAAGTAAATAAATAAAATTATTTTTCACTGGAATGGCAGGATGGAAGAAGGTCCTTTTTAAGGTTGGTTGGGTTGCTGAAAACCAGTGCAAGAATTCTGTTAAATCAAGAAACAGAAATGTAGAATCTGACCAGGAGGGACAAATTAGAGCTCTACAAAAGCTGACAGCAAATTTTTCACCTTTCTGTAAAATGGCCAGGATGCTAACCTGTTTTCAAGACAGAAGCCTGCTTTTTATGTTTTTATTCCATTTAGTGGAATTGTGTATCACACACCTTTAAATATCACAACCTACATGGCATCTAAAAGAGAACCAAGGTTAGTTCTCTCCGAGAAGTTTCTTATTTGGCGGCTATGGATGTTTTGTGCGTGAATTATAGGGCAAAATGAAAGGGATGTTGTATGCCATAAGTGAGATGAGAGGTGTGGAAGGATGAGGAATAAAATAAAAAAAAAATGAAATGAAATAACACAATTAAAATAAATTATAAAATGAAATGAAATGAAAGCAGGGGAAGCTACACCTGGTTTTACACCTTGCACCTAGAAAGACAGAGTAAACAGGCAACTGCGTTGAGAGTCTTGAAAGGCCTTCACCTTACTGTAAAGTAGAATTATCCACATTGCAATCTAATAATAAAATTACCAATAAAGGAGAATATTTGTAGCTCGGGGTTGAATTTTGAGGTCTCCCTTGGTGCTCTCTGAGCTTGGTGGTTTTCTTGCAGACGTTTCGTGACCCAACTAGGTAGCATCATCAGTGCTCACCATCAGAGCATGGATGATGTTACCTAGTTGGGTTATGAGACGTCTGCAAAAAAAACCACCAACCTCAGAGAGCACCAAGGACCCCCCCCCCACTAAGAGTACTCCTCTGCCTGTTTCCCCACCCCCCCCCCCTCTTTTTTTTTTTTGGCAATGCGTCTGACCAACTTAGGCAGGATTTATCCTCCAAATTAGGCGCTCACCATTTCAACCAACTCCTTACATTTGTTTCGATTCTGGTTAAATAGGATTTGCTGGATTAATCTGCAAAAGGCTATTTCTTTTTCCCTGTTCCGACGTTCTTGCCAGACGTCCAAAGACTAAGGAAGAAATGGAGCTAAATACGAAATACTAAAGACACTGAACTTCATCGGTGCCTGTTCGGTGCCTGTTCTGGATAATTGACAGCATCTTTGCAAAGGCCGGTCTAATCTGTTGACTGTTCTCCCTGATTCCCACCCTCTGAATCCCACTGCCCCCCCCCAAAAAAAAGTATTTTTGCCCAAAGTCTGTGGAGATTCTCAACCATCCATGAAGTCCTGGTTGTCCCAAAGGCACTTTCTTTTTCAAGAGGCAACTGGGACTTTCTGGTTTTTTTCTTTGAAGACCTTTCGCTCCTCATCCAAGAAACTTCTTCAGCTTCTTCAGAAAGTCCAGCTGCCTCTTGAAAAAGCACCTTTGAGACTCCACTTCTCCTCCCAAAGATTTCTCTCCGCTCAACCCCCCCCCCCCCCCGCCAAATCCGTGATTTCCCAGAGTGTGTCCGGCGCTGGACAGCGGAGCCATCCGAGTCAGGAGAACCCCAAGGAGCTAAGCCCCTTAAGGCCAAGCTGGCTCTTCGGCAGGGGACCTTCCTCCCCCCCAGGCCGCTGGGAAGGGGGCAGGCTCCCCAAAGGGCCCCTAGGCAAGACCCCAGCCCTCCCCTAGACCTCCCCGTCTCTTGGGCCGCTTTCCTTTCCCCCCCGGGACGCGCCAGGACGCGCGTTCCGACGCGCTCACCTTCCCGCAGCGCGCCTCCTCCTCCTCCTCCTCCTTCGCTGCCGCTGCTGCCCCCGGAGGGGTCGAAAGCCCCCTTGCCGCCTTCCCGAGCCTCGGAGCCGGCGTCCTGGGGCGTCCCGTTCATGCCGACGGCCGCTTCCTCCAGATCCAAGAGGTGACTAACGCTGAAATTCTTGCGCGCCTGAGGGTTGTCTGCAGGCTCCAAGATCCGGACCGGGTTGGGGGCGAATTGCTTGTCCATGCTGTAGGCGGACACCGCTTCCATCGCGGCCTGATCCAGCTTGTGAGGTGGGGGGAAGCAGAAAAAAGACACCCCCCCGGCCAGCCAGGAGCTGCGATCTGGCGAGCCTCCCTTGGTTCCCCCAAAACCGACTTAACGTCCCCAACAAAACTTTTCCTTCTGCTTTGATTTCCTCTCTCTCTCTCTCCCTCCTCCTCCACCTACGTTTTCCTGATGTGGTGTGTGTGTGTGTGTGTGTGTGTGTGTGTGTGTGTGTGTGTGTGTGTGTGTGTCTGCTTCTAAGGGTGTGTGTGGGGCTTTATTATATTCACTGTACCTCGGTCTGACTCTTTCTTTCTTTCTTTTTCTTCCTTCCTTCCTTCCTTCCTCTCTCTCCCTTTCTTCCTCTCTTCTTTCACTCTTTCTTTCTCGGCCTCTTCTCTTCCTCTCTTTT